GGCACTGTTCCACTGAATTGCCACTCACCCAGCCAGACTTTGGTCCTGTTGTGTTGCGCATGTTTTCCCATGCCAACATTTTCATACCAAGATGGGGCAGACAAACGCACCTATCCAGACTTTGGTCCTGTTTTGTTGCACATGTTTCCTATGCCAACATTTTCATGCTTTGACAGTGCAAATGCACCTATCCAAACTTCGGCCCTATTGTGTTGCGCATGTTTTCCCATGCCAACATTTTAATGCCTTGACAGGGCAAACACACCTATCCAGACTATGGCCCTGTTGGTTGCACATGTGTTCCCATGCCAACATTTTCATGCCAAGACAGGGCAAAAAAATGCATGTATTTACACTCCCTTGCTGAGCCTTGCCTACTGCATCTGGCTGTCCAATCTGTCCAATTTTAGGCAAAACATTGCCCTTGTGTTCCTCACACACTCCTGTTACGTTCAACATTTATTTTTTAATACAATTGTGGCCTCACCTTTTGCAGTCCCCAAAATCTCAAAACTCTCCAATTTGTGACCACCAAGCAACACGAGTTTTACATTGGAAATTTGTTCATAAACCACACTTTAGATGGATTCCTGCTTATACTGGTAAAGAAGTAAGTGTGCAGTTGCAATGTACCAGTTAATGAAAGAGATGTGGGAATTCTATCTAGAGCTTAGAAAAGTTCCATTTTTTATTCTTATTTATTTTAAAATTTATTTTCATTTGCTCCTTAAGATTGAGACAGTACTGGATTCAGACAAACACCATATAACAATATGCCACCTAACCTAGCGCACCACACATAACTGCAAATTAAAAGAAATAATAAAATAAAGATAGACTCCCTGAGTGCTCTGCTTCTTTGCATCCACACTGCAGAAATAATCTGGGTTGACACCTCTTTAGTGGCCATGGCTCAGTGCTATGGAATTCTGGGAACTGTAGTTGGTTGTGGCATCGTAGCATTGAGCCATGGCCATTAGAGCAGTGTCAAACCAGATTATTTCTGCAGTGTGGATGCAAAGAAGGAGAGCACTCAGGGAGTCAATCTTTATTTTATTATTTCTTTTAATTTACAGTTATGTGTGATGCAGACCTTTGGCTGAGTTCCTTGCATCATTTTGGCTACTTTTTCCACGGGAAAATAATAAATTCTTCACCCCCATTTTATCTTTAACTCTTGTTATTGTGAAATCTCATGTTACCATATAGAAAAGTTCAGTTTTTAGACTGAGGTCCTGGAATCTCCCAACCACCATTAGCCACGGTAGCTAGGGATTTCTGGTCAAACTTTTAAAAGTAATATTTCCAACTTTTGGTTTTGATCCAAGGCTTTCTGAACAGTTGCATCTTAATTACTGAATTACTTTCGAGAGTTTTTTATTATTATTATTTCGAGAGAGGTTAGGGACACAGGAAGGCTCCTTGCATTGAGTCAGACCATTGGTTCATCTTGCCCAGTTTTGTCAATTCAAGACAAGTTTTAAGCATGATTCTTTCCCTACCCTGCTTGGAGACACTTACGTAGTATTTTCTAGTGGTCTCCCATCCATTCAGCTACTAAGTTTGACCCTGCTTAAGCTTCCAAAATCAGACAAGATGAGGGATGCAGATGGTACAGCGATGGTGAGGCTTTCTTGAAAAGAGATGTCCTGAAATTGGGCTGTATGTGAGCATAAGGATGTCAATCCACAACTATTTCTTCCTAGCATACTACAAATAAATGTAGTAGTTTTCTCTCTGCTGCAGAAGAAAATAAACATTCTTCTGCACTATTCTCCCCATATTTGAGTATCCTGAACTGTTCCTGAAGAATTATTCTGCATAGAAAAACAAATGGGTTGTTTGTTTATTTTGTACAAAAACTGTTTTCTCTTCAGAAAAGGTTTCCTGCCCAGCAAACAGGTAACTTGCTTTCTGTGCAAGAAATCTGTTTTCTGCAAAATAATAATAACAATAATAATAACTCATGCATTTTTCTATTCAGAATTAGTGTTCCGCAACACTTTGGGATATTTTAATAAGGGGAGAAAATTGTGAGAGATTCTCACTGTTTTTTTTTAATTCATCCCAACACAGTTTGCCAACTTTTAGGAACTTGTGTTTTGGGGGGATGAATAATAATGAATATTCTTTCAATTTCTATGTGACAATTCTGCTGTTTGATGCCTTTCCTTGTTCAAGATATGTTGCAATAAGCAGCAGAGGTTCATTGTTGAGGCCAAAGCCGCTTTCTGTACATGCTCAGGTGTACTTTCCTATATTGCATATGTTCATCTGCTCTTTTTTTTAAAAAAAACAACAACAACAACCCCGAAAAAGTCTAGCCTGCAATAATACAAAACTAGCAATCCCTGCAAAGCTTTTGTGCAATTGTGTTTTACTTACCGCACTATGTCCTCTGCAGAGTTATTAGCATCCTGATTAACCCAGTCCTTGCATGTGCTGCAAACAGAAAGCCACAGATTTAATATTGTTAATGGAACCATGGAAATACTGTTTATGGAAAGTGCATGGCAGAAGGCAAAATAGAATTAGTGGAGCAGGTAAGTGAAACCGGAGGTGGAGATGCCACCAAGTATCTTAACTTGCCTAGAAATTCCTTCTCAGTGACAAATATGATAACCAGACAAATCCTTTGCAAAAGCATTGCACATGGAGTCCTGTAAGGGAAAGGTGGGAGTATGCAAATCCTAACCAGGATGTCACTTGTTCTATTTCTAGTGGTGCCAAGTTTGTTTCCCACCCACAAGACCGGTCCATGATGTTAATCAAGATACGCCTGACTAGCCACCCAAATTGCATATTCTGAGGTCAACAGAGTGGTGGTCATTTGTCTTTGCGTTTGGCAAAAGAAGCTGCAGTTATTCTTGATATTCCCATCTTGGGACAGGGACCTTTCTTCATTGCTTATGTTGTTCTGTAAGGCATCCATGCACACTGATAATACTCTCATAGTCTACACAAAGCAAGCTCAAAACAATCATAGGTCCAATCCACGCTGCAGAA